ACCATCTACACTACACACAGTCATCATCACTGTAACCATCTACACATACAGTCATCATCACTGTAACCATCTACACTACAGTCATCATCACTGTAACCATCTACACTACACAGTCATCATCACTGTTACCATCTACACTACACAAGACATTCATCGCTGTAACTGAAGTTGGGGCCGACCCCAGTCCCCCCTATGACCGTCCCCCATCAACCACCAGTCACCCTGCAAAGCTTGATGAAGCTAGCGCCAAGCCTCTGCCCTCCAGCCTTGAACACTCACACATCCTCTTTATAAAGCTGTGATTGATCTCTCTTGTCTCCTTTCTAGAGCATATTCAGTGCACTAGGAGAAAGCCCCAGTAATTGTATTTGCCTAGTGTATGCGTCCATGTGTATTGAAGAGGATGTATACACATGGTGTATTATTACAGAGCGCTCGTCAGTGGAGGATAGCAAAGTGATCTGAAAGAAGGGGCAATGACCCTTGACCGTTGCTATGCTTGATCTGTTTGATGAGGTTATCTTGAGATGATTTCGGGGCTTTTTAGTATCCCCGCGGCCCGGTCCTCGACCAGGCCTCCACCCCTAGGAAGCAGCCCGTGACAGCTGACTAACACCCAGGTACCTATTTTACTGCTAGGTAACAGGGGCATAGGGTGAAAGAAACTCTGCCCATTGTTTCTCGCCGGCGCCTGGGATCGAACCCAGGACCACAGGCTCACAAGCCCAGCGTGCTGTCCGCTCGGCCGACCGGCTCCCTTCGGTTCTGGGAGAACCGGTTCCGACCGGTTCTGGGATTTCTATTCCCAGGCCTCGGGCTACTCCCAAGCCCGGCCTGAGGCCAAGCTTAACTTGTGAGAGATTGGTCCACTAGGCTGTTGCTTGGAGCGGCCCGCAGGCCCACATATCCACCACAGCCCGGTTGGCCCGGCACTCCTTGAAGAAGAAAATCTATTTTTCTCTTGAAGATGTCCACGGTTGTTCCGGCAATATTTCTTAAACGCTTGCATTGTCATGCTCAGTAAACGTTTGGTCATCCTACAGTATTCCTATATCCCTTATATGTTGTACCATTTCTGTTTGCATGTTTAGGTTAAGTTGGATAATTCTATATCTAAGAGAGCTGGATTTTATATCACTGTTGAATATAATGTCTTCCGTCACCCCGGGTGTTAGACTTAATTAAACTTGATAATAGTTCTCAATATTTTCCACCGAAGCAATTTTCTTGATGACACGAGGCAGTAGTTCCATTATTTCTCTGCTATTCATTTGTACGTCATTTCATGGGCTATCTTGAGGTTATCTTGAGATGATTTCGGGGCTTTTTAGTGTCCCCGCGGCCCGGTCCTCGACCAGGCCTCCACCCCCAGGAAGCAGCCCGTGACAGCTGACTAACTCCCAGGTACCAATTTACTGCTAGGTAACAGGGGCATTCAGGGTGAAAGAAACTTTGCCCATTTGTTTCTGCCTCGTGTGGGAATCGAACCCGCGCCACAGAATTACGAGTCCTATCCCTCCATGATCACACACATCACATGCCTTTACAAAGTCCGTGTAAACAACATGAGCAATTAGTTTTTCATTCGTTTCTTGGCTGATTGTATCGTGGCGGCTGAGTAATTACAGACGGAAGGATCTTCCAGCTCTCTCTATCCATCTTGACTTGGTTTACTTGGTCCGCTTTTCTTCACACGCCTCGAGATGGTGTATTGTTTGAAGCAGTACGTTGGTACCTTCCGTGTGGAGTAGAGCTGTATCTCCCGATCTGAAGTGCTTCAGGTAACTGGCCAGTGTCAAAGCTCTTTTTTAAATTTAAATTTTGCCCCGAGGGGCGAGTTTATTGGGCAGCGCCACTCATCTTGTGAGTGAACACACCGCCATAGCAGAATGTACAACACTCCCCAATAGGAAGAAAACCCGCTGGGTTGTTCATCCTGTCACTTGTCTTGTTGTTCAAATTCAAATGTTTATTCAGGTAAAGTACATACATACAAGAGGTGATACAAAAAGTAATAGATTTATAGATAGAGCCAGTACATACATTGCCTAAAGCCACTATTACGCAAAGCGTTTCGGGCAGAATACCCACGCTATACCCAGCGCTTCTGCTTCCTATACTTTGCTGTCTTTATCAATATTAAGTTCCCGGTGCATATATTTGTCAAAGTCTGTTGTGCTTGTGCCAATATCCGTTATATTGGGAGTTGTGGATATTGCGTATGAAGACGCTGCAGGCATCTTCAACTTTCTTGTTGTGTAGCGTGCCACTAAATATAGCTTCAGAAAATCCATTACAGATTTTACCATTTTGTTTCAACATCTGTATATGAACCTGTGGGGGGGGGAAGGGGGGGAAAGAGGACTGCGGTGTGGGGAGGGGGGAGAGGACATGTGATGGGGGGGGGGAGGACGTGTGGTGTGGGGGGGGGGGGGAAGAGGACTTTTCGAAGGGGGGAAGGAGTTTTGGGGATGTGGGGGAGGACGTTTGGCGAGGTGAGGAAGAAGCACTAAGGAGGGGTGTGAGGTGAGGAAGCAGCACTAAGGAGGGGTGTGAGGTGAGGAAGCAGCACTAAGGAGGGGTGTAAGGTGAGGAAGCAGCACTAAGGAGGGGTGAGAGGTGAGGAAAGCAGCACTAAGGAGGGGTGTGAGGTGAGGAAGCAGCACTAAGGAGGGGTGTGAGGTGAGGAAGCAGCACTAAGGAGGGGTGTGAGGTGAGGAAGCAGCACTAAGGAGGGGTGTGAGGTGAGGAAGCAGCACTAAGGAGGGGTGTGAGGTGAGGAAGCAGCACTAAGGAGGGGTGTGAGGTGAGGAAGCAGCACTAAGGAGGGGTGTGAGGTGAGGAAGCAGCACTAAGGAGGGGTGTGAGGTGAGGAAGCAGCACTAAGGAGGGGTGTGAGGTGAGGAAGCAGCACTAAGGAGGGGTGTGAGGTGAGGAAAAGCAGCACTAAGGAGGGGTGTGAGGTGAGGAAGCAGCACTAAGGAGGGGTGTGAGGTGAGGAAGCAGCACTAAGGAGGGGTGTGAGGTGAGGAAGCAGCACTAAGGAGGGGTGTGAGGTGAGGAAGCAGCACTAAGGAGGGGTGTGAGGTGAGGAAGCAGCACTAAGGAGGGGTGTGAGGTGAGGAAGCAGCACTAAGGAGGGGTGTGAGGTGAGGAAGCAGCACTAAGGAGGGGTGTGAGGTGAGGAAGCAGCACTAAGGAGGGGTGTGAGGTGAGGAAGCAGCACTAAGGAGGGGTGTGAGGTGAGGGAAGCAGCACTAAGGAGGGGTGTGAGGTGAGGAAGCAGCACTAAGGAGGGGTGTGAGGTGAGGAAGCAGCACTAAGGAGGGGTGTGAGGTGAGGAAGCAGCACTAAGGAGGGGTGTGAGGTGAGGAAGCAGCACTAAGGAGGGGTGTGAGGTGAGGAAGCAGCACTAAGGAGGGGTGTGAGGTGAGGAAGCAGCACTAAGGAGGGGTGTGAGGTGAGGAAGCAGCACTAAGGAGGGGTGTGAGGTGAGGAAGCAGCACTAAGGAGGGGTGTGAGGTGAGGAAGCAGCACTAAGGAGGGGTGTGAGGTGAGGAAGCAGCACTAAGGAGGGGTGTGAGGTGTTATGAGGTGGAGGTCTGGTAATGGTTATTATGACAATTTATCAACATCAAGGCTCCTACACTTTTCAACACTTCTGTGGAAAATAGTCCACTATTTTATAGGATATTAGTATATATTGATTATATAAAGGACCACGTAGTTCTTCTAAAGTTATATTTTGAACAAGTCACGAGGTTAACACAAAGGTCTTGCAAACATTAGCCAAACGTATCATAAACGCTGGAACAATCTTACAAACTAATCATAAGAATATCCACTTCCTTTAGATAAAAAAAAATGCATAATCAATAACAAACTAAATAATAAAATAACCCCAAAAGGTTGTTAGTAGCGATATAATTTGTTAGCATAACTTGAGAATAGCGAGAGGGAAAATCGTTTTCTCTAAAAACCCGCAAGGGGTAACTGGCGGAAAGCTGGCAGCTCACACCGCCAGCGAGGCAGTGTGAGAGTCTATAAACACTGCCATCCCAGACCACAACAGATGTGCTTCACTGAACACGAGAGCCTACAAACACTTATTAGTGTAGTAACTTAAATCACAAACTTGTGCTACGATATCTAAGCGTGTGGAATAAGTAGTGTTAGAAGGTTGACCAGACCACACACTAGAAGGTGAAGGGACGACGACGTTTCGGTCCGTCCTGGACCATTCTCAAGTCGATTGTGATGAGGAGGTAGAGACAGGCAATAAATAGGCAAGAGAGAGCTGAGGAGCAAAGGAAAAAGAGAGAGCTTTGAAAAAGTTCTCTCTTGCCTATTTATTGTCTGTCTCTACTTCCTGATCACAATCGACTTGAGAATGGTCCAGGACGAACCGAAACGTCGTCGTCCCTTCACCTTCTAGTGTGGTCTGGTCAACATACTTTAGCCACGTTATTGTGACTCATCGCCTGCATAGTGTTAGAAGGAACCACCACCACACCAGCCTGACCTCACTACTCCTGTTAACTCCAGCAAGAAGCCTTCGCTTCTCCTTCGAAATTATTTTAATCCCATGTTAAGACGTACCTCCAACTAGAGAATAAGTATATACTTAAATAAAACAATATATAAATAGAGGTGATTATAACTAGAGCCCAAACTTGGTTAGCATTGGTCAATATAGTGATTATCATTAACAAATAATTAGCCTATACACTTATATAAGGCTAGATTATATTATGACTCGATAAGCTATTCTAGAACTTCAGACTCATACTTACCAGTAACGTAACTACTGCATTTATTTTTATTTTATCCTTGCGTGTCAGTAATGTGAATTAATTGACCAGAAAAGGTGGGAGAAGAAGTCTTTCAGTACCAGTGCCTCCCTACCCATAGGCAGGTTTTGATAAATCATGATATAACATATATCATAACTAATATAACAGATATATCATGATATAACAGACTGCGAGCAGCGATATAATATATAACGAATGCATTGTTTACCACTGGATAATTATGTCCCACTGAAATAAGTGTATTTAGCCACTTAGGAAGACAGCTACGCGGGAAGATGTATCACACTGCAACCCGTTCTCGCAAATTTAATAAGTCAATATTGACTTATTAAATATGTGCATAGGTGACATACTTAACATAATAGATACCCTTAAAAAGATTCATAGAAAACAAGCCTGGGTGTGGAGCCTGTACTGGGTCTGGTAGCTTGGGTGTGGAGCGTGTACTGTGTCTGGTAGCCTGAGTGTGGAGCGTGTACTGGGTCTGGTAGCCTGGGTGTAGATCGTGTACTGGGTCTGGTAGCCTGGGTGTGGAGCGTGTACTGGGCCTGGTAGCCTGGGTGTGAAGCGTGTACTGGGCCTGGTAGCCTGGGTGTGGAGCGTGTACTGGGCCTGGTAGCCTGGGTGTGGAGCGTGTACTGGGCCTGGTAGCCTGGGTGTGGAGCGTGTACTGGGTCTGGTAGCCTGGGTGTGGAGCATGTGAGGTGTCTGGTAGCCTGGGTGTGGAGCGTGTACTGGGTCTGGTAGCCTGGGTGTGGAGCGTGTACTGGGTCTGGTAGTGTAGGTCCATCAACGCGAGCATCATCTCTCTCCAGTGATATGTCGGTAACTCAGGTTGATGGTCGAGTATCGAGATTTCCCCAATATTCGATTGACTCAGTCCAGGCCATCTCCTCACTAAACTTACGGCCCCCCAAAAAATTTTCTTCAATCAGCGAGCGTCTGATCCAATTGAGAACATTGGCAGTAATCCCACGGGTCTCCACCTTCCTGGTGAGCCGCGCGAGGTACAGTGTTAGGGGCCTCGCCCAGGTCTCCAACCTCGTGGGCTGGACGGTAGAGTGACGGTCTCGCGTCATGCAGGTCGGCGTCCAATCCCCGATCGTCCAAGTGGTTGGATACCATTCTTTCCCCCTCCGTCCCATCCCAAATCATTATCCTGATCCCTTCCAAGTGGTATTAAGTCGTAATGGCTTGGCGCTTTCCCCCCCTGATAGTTTCCTTCCCCTCGCCCAGGTCAAGATGGATGACTTGAGAGGTATTAATGTCGACAGCCTCGAGTACACTTGTAATAAACTTGTAATAAAGTTGTTACATCTTGGCTTAACGTGTTTATGACGTATTGGAACGTTGTTACAACTTGCTATATTGGTTGTTATAACTGGTTAGGAGGTTATCTTGAGATCTTGAGATGATTTCGGGGCTTTAATGTCCCCGCGGCCCGGTCCTCGACCAGGCCTCCACCCCCAGGAAGCAGCCCGTGACAGCTGACTAACACCCAGGTACCTATTTACTGCTAGGTAACAGGGGCATAGGGTGAAAGAAACTCTGCCCATTGTTTCTCGCCGGCGCCCGGGATCGAACCCGGGACCACAGGACAGTGAGGGGGCTGGGACAGGATAGACGTAAGGACAGGTGCCCAGCCACTAGGACCGTCAGGGATCGAACACCGGCTTGCAGGAAGCAAGACCGTCTCTGTTTCCGACTTGTCAAAGTGGCTACCTTACCTTACCTTGAGGTGTTTTCGGGGCTTAGCGTCCCGGTGGCCCGGTCGTCGACCAGGCCTCCTACGTCCTAGGGTTACAATCGTGAAGTAGCACAGTGGCCTACGTCCTCGGCTCACAATCGTGAAGTAGCACAGTGGCCTGCGTCCTCGGCTCACACTCGACATACCCGGGTTTAATCCTCAAGTAAGCTATAAACGGTTGAGCACGTTTCCATTTACCTGATGCCTCTATTTCCTCCCCTAGCAGTAATATAGGTACACGGGAGTCAGGCAACTGTTGTGGGTTGCATGCTGGGGAAGGTCAGGAGCTGACCCAGGAACGCCTCTATATGCCTAAGTCGGGCTTATACTCTACTTGGAAATTCCCTTACTATTCCCTGCGGAAATTCCCGTTCCGAACAACGGGAATTATATATAACTGGCACTGGTGTAATTATATATTCCATATACAGAGGCATATTGGTGGTGGTGGTGTTATAGATTACCTACTCGGAACAAGTTCCAAGTAGCACGGGCTATGGTGAGCCCGTAGTGGACTTACCTGGCACAGGAGCGGGGCAAGTAGCACGGGCTATGGTGAGCCCGTAGTGGACTTACCTGGCACAGGAACGGGGCAAGTAGCGCGGGCTATGGTGAGCCCGTAGTGGACGTACCTGGCACAGGAGCGGGGCAAGTAGCGCGGGCTATGGTGAGCCCGTAGTGGACTGACCTGGCACAGGAGCGGTGCTGGAGTGGTGAGTGGACAGTTCCGTCTCTAATATAGTGGTGCCACAGGCGAGACCCTCACTCTGGACGGTAGAGCGACGGTCTCGCGTCATGCAGGTCGGCGTTCAATCCCCGACCGTGCAATCATGCCCATACGAGTGGTTGGGCACCATTCCTTTCCTCCCGTCCCTCCCCAAATCCTTATTCTGACGCCTTCCAAGTGCTATATAGTCATAACGACTTGGCGCTTTCTCCTTATAGTTCCCTTCCCTTCTTTTCCCCCCCCCCAATTAGGCATAATGTTGCCATAATCTACCCCCCCCCCCCATGTGTTCTCCTCTTTCTCCTTATCACCAATCGTCTTCAGATCTCTTACCAATCATTTCTGTGTTATTTATTTGATATAATAATTTCGTCTAATCTGCTAATTATCTGCATAATATTGTTTGCAGCAAGTGACAATGATGTGGGAAGTTGGTGGTAAATATTAATGTGAGTGGGTGTTACTCACGGTGTGTTACTCACGGTGTGTTACTCACGGTGTGTTACTCACGGTGTGTTACTCACGGTGTGTTACTCACGGTGTGTTACTCACGGTGTGTTACTCACGGTGTGTTACTCACGGTGTGTTACTCACGGTGTGTTACTCACGGTGTCTTACACACGGTGTGTTACTCACGGTGTGTTACTCATGCTGTTACTCACGGTGTGTTACTCACGGTGTGTTACTCATGCTGTTACTCACGGTGTTACTCTCGCTGCAGCATCCTGTTCGCGGACATCTGCGGGTTCACTACTCTCTCCGACCAGTGCACCGCTGAGGAACTGGTGAGGCTGCTCAGTGAACTCTTCGCGCGGTGAGTACCTGCCTCTCTCTCTCTCACTTGCTCTCTCAACACCTGCCTCTCTCTCTCTCACTTGCTCTCTCAACACCTGCCTCTCTCTCACTTGCTCTCTCAACACCTGCCTCTCTCTCTCTCTCTCACTTGCTCTCTCAACACCTGCCTCTCTCACTTACTCTCTCAACACCTGCCTCTACATCTGCCTTTATGGTTGTCCTCTATACGACTATTTGAATCTCTACACCTGTATCCTCCTCACTATACCTGTATCCTCCTCACTATACCTGTATCCTCCTCCTCCTATACCTGTATCCTCCTCACTATACCTGTATCCTCCTCCTCACTATACCTGTATCCTCCTCCTCCTATACCTGTATCCTCCTCCTCCTACACCTGTATATATATAATGTGGCTTCCTGTCCCCTGACACCATGACATATTAGTATGGTGTTTAGAGGTGTTTAAAAATTCCCTTTTGAACACGGTGAGAGGAAGGCTAGTTACATCCTTCATGTTAAAATGGAAAGTACTGACAAGTTTTGGGCCTTTAATGTTGATAAAATTGTCTCTCGGCTTACCTATTGCAACTCTGCTTTTCAACGGGGATGTTTTGCACTTCCTGCCATGCTTCCTGGTCACGCACTCCATTACTTTGATTCAGTTTATACACGAATATCGTACGCTGGTGTTGATAGCGTCCAGATTATGTGTGAGGCGGGTTAGGAAAGTTGTTGGGTGCCAGCTCATGTGTAAGGGTGGGTTGTTGTTGTTAAAGATTCGCTACCTGGAACAAAAAGTTCCAGTAGCACGGGCTATGGCGAGCCCGTAGGAGGGCGGGTGGATTCGGGCGAGTAGGCGGGCTGGGCCAAGGGGGGTTATCTTGAGATCTTGAGATGATTTCGGGGCTTAGCGTCCCCGCGGCCTGGTCATTGACCAGGCCTTAAGGGGGAAGTCATTGCCCATGATGTGCCTTCACCCACCAATATTACCCAAGGCAAGATGTCCGGTGACACGCCCTTGTAGACGACACATTAACTACATTAACCCTCGTCATCTCTCCTTGGATGGCTAATAACGTATAAGAAAAATGCACAGAAAAAAATACAAAATCTTTAAATGAGAAGTTTCTCATTTGACCACAAAGGCAACTTTTCAAGATCTGGCGGGAACTTTTGGTCACCATGGAGACGGTGAGGGTGCAACCAACTCCTGGATCACTGTGGACTATAATAAGGTCAAGTGTGGTGCTTCCCAGTGGCTCCTCCTGTCGTTAGTTCCATCACCACCTCTCCTCTCTAGCCTAGTTACTCATCTCTATAATCAAACATTAACATGTGTGTTTAAAACAACTAAAAACTACTCGTCACCTGAAGCCACCTAACATCTCCTGAAGACCACGTTCGTCACCTACTGTAGGTGAGCAACTTGGTAATCTCGCTCATAATAACTGAATGAGTGGGTTTGATATCAATAATAACTGAATGAGTGGGTTTGATATCAATAATAACTGAATGAGTGGGTTTGATATGAATAATAACTGAATGAGTGGGTTTGATATGAATAATAACTGAATGAGTGGGTTTGATATCAATAATAACTGAATGAGTGGGTTTGATATCAATAATAACTGAATGAGTGGGTTTGATATGAATAATAACTGAATGAGTGGGTTTTATATGAATAATAACTGAATGAGTGGGTTTGATATCAATAATAACTGAATGAGTGGGTTTGATATCAATAATAACTGAATGAGTGGGTTTGATATCAATAATAACTGAATGAGTGGGTTTGATATGAATAATAACTGAATGAGTGGGTTTGATATCAATAATAACTGAATGAGTGGGTTTGATATGAATAATAACTGAATGAGTGGGTTTGATATCAATAATAACTGAATGAGTGGGTTTGATATGAATAATAACTGAATGAGTGGGTTTGATATCAATAATAACTGAATGAGTGGGTTTGATATGAATAATAACTGAATGAGTGGGTTTGATATCAATAATAACTGAATGAGTGGGTTTGATATGAAGTGCTTCTGCTATGTCATATCACCTGTTGTCGCTATATATGTTGACTATTTCAGTGTTGCTGGTCGGGATCTTTCTGATGATAGCCTGGTTGTGTATGTTAAAAATGTGATCTTTAAATGAGTCATGGTGTTTGTGCATAGTTTCCTGACTATATTGTGGAAATATTGGGACTGATAGTCCTCAAGTGGACATGTTACAGCATAACAGCATTGTTTTGTCCAACATGTGCCCACAGTACCCACATGCAGGTGTGTGAGGGCTGCTCACAGTACCCACATGCAGGTGTGTGAGGGCTGCTCACAGTACCCACATGCAGGTGTGTGAGGGCTGCCCACAGTACCTCACATGCAGGTGTGTGAGGGCTGCTCACAGTACCCACATGCAGGTGTGTGAGGGCTGCTCACAGTACCCACATGCAGGTGTGTGAGGGCTGCTCACAGTACCTCACATGCAGGTGTGTGAGGGCTGCCCACAGTACCCACATGCAGGTGTGTGAGGGCTGCCCACATTACCCACATGCAGGTCTGAGGTAGCACTACCACGCCTGCTACACCCGCCACCACGCCTGCTACACCCGCCACCACGCCTGCTACACCCGCCACCACGCCTGCTACACCCGCCACCACGCCTGCTACACCCGCCACCACGCCTGCTACACCCGCCACCACGCCTGCTACACCCGCCACCACGCCTGCTACACCCGCCACCACGCCTGCTACACCCGCCACCACGCCTGCTACACCCGCCACCACGCCTGCTACACCCGCCACCACGCCTGCTACACCAGCCACCACGCCTGCTACACCAGCCACCACACCTGCTACACCAGCCACCACACCTGCTACACCAGCCACCACACCTGCTACACCAGCCACCACACCTGCTACACCCGCCACCACGCCTGCTACACCAGCCACCACACCTGCTACACCCACATGTGGAGGGTAGTGCAACAATACCTCTGGTATTAAGGGAATCGCCACCTGGGTTCAGCGGCCCGGTTTAATATGGAGACATTTGGTGTAGTGAAGACATGGAGGGGGAAGCCATCTATATATCCAGGAGACACACGTACACGGAGACACACGTGCACGGAGACACACGTACACGGAGACACGTACACGGAGACACACGTGCACGGAGACACACGTACGCGGAGACACGTGCACGGAGACACACGTACAGAGAGACACACGTACAGGGAGACACACGTACAGGGAGACACACGTACAGGGAGACACACGTACAGGGAGACACACGTACAGGGAGACACACGTACAGGGAGACACACGTACAGGGAGACACACGTACACGGAGACACACGTACACGGAGACACACGTACACGGAGACACACGTGCACCATAACTCTTGATATCTATCTTTAACGTGTACTAAACATGGTACATTCACTTATTAACTATTCAAACACCGCGAGACTAATGTTGCATGCTAATGTTAATTCAGAAAGAGATAACATAGAAATATCAAAGCCAGGATGTGTGTTTGCGGAATGTTAATAACATTCGGCAGTTTCACATTTTAAATTATAACCCAAACTACAGAAATATCCTCGGCTTAATTATTAGCCCTTAAATCCCGTTGATTAAAAAAGTGTGTCAAAAAGTAATGAATTATCCATATTATTATTCATTATCAATCAAAGGAATTTACAAACGCGACTGTGTTATTAATGTACCAGATCGCGGTTATCGTGGGTTTTTTTTTTACTAAGAGAATTAATTATGTAATAAAGAGATTAGGGAGCCGGGAGCGCCGCCCCCTCATGGTGGAGTACAAGGGTTACTGACTTGTCACTCACTTGCACCACCCGGAGGGGTCAGAGGTCACTCCTCACTCCACCTGGTCACCAAAGGCTCAACACGACCAGGGGCCAGATTCACGAAGCGGTTACGCAAGCACTTACGAACGTGTGTACATCTTTTCTCAATCTTTGACGGCTTTGGTTACATTTATTAAACAGTTTACAAGCATGAAAACTTCCCATTCAACTGTTGTTATTGTTATAAACAGCCTCCTGGTGCTTCGGAGCTCATTAACTGTTTAATAATTGTAAACAAAGCCGCCAAAGATTGAGAAAAGATGGACAGGTTCGTAAGTGCTTGCGTAACTGCTTCGTGAATCTAGCCCCCTGGTCACCATAAAAATAACTTGCCCTTAGTACTGTGCTGTCCAATGGTCGACGAGTCATTTGTTGAGTGTCTGAGAACAATATATATTGTTGTAGTCCACCACCACTGTAGTCCTCTGGGTCCAAGAAATGTGTAAGTACTTCATTCATAATGATGTACTGTCGGGAATCTTAGCGAAGTATCCAAAGTGTGAGTGTGTGTGTGTGTGTGTGTGTGTGTGTGTGTGTGTGTGTGTGTGTGTGTGTGTGTGTGTGTGTGTGTGTGTGTGTGTGTACTCACCTAGTTGTGCTTGCGAGGGTTGAGCTCTGGCTCTTTGGTCCCGCCTCTCAACCGTCAATCAACAGGTGTACAGGTTCCTGAGCCTATTGGGCTCTATCATATCTACACTTGAAACTGTGTATGGAGTCAGCCTCCACCACATTGCTTCCTAATGCATTCCATTTGTCAACCACTCTGACAAATGACACTCTGTGTGTGTTTGTGTGTGTGTGTGTGTGTGTGTGTGTGTGTGTGTGTGTGTGTGTGTGTGTGTGTGTGTGTGTGTGTGTGTGTGTGTGTGTGTGTGTGTAACGTTAACAATTGTGCAACTATCTTGAAAAGATTGTTACTTGCTTAGCTATATGAATTGTGGAGTTCAGTTCCTTCCAACCTCCTGAACCCGTTATGTGCTTCTGTAACCCATTCCACCACCGCCCACGGGATGGGTATGGGGTGCATAATAAAGAAAGAAGTTGAATTGAACTGGCGATATATTTTGTGTGGTTAATTCCCGGTGACTCGTTGTTCTCCAAGAGCAACGGCAGCCTAACTTGATGTTACAAC